TCCATCCACCGTGCTTTAAGTGACTCTGTGGGGTTTTGCTGGTAAGAGAAGAAACTCACAAACACATCAGAACCCCTCATTAATGGTATTTTTAGAAACAAATGAAATTCTGCCAGGCTAGCTTATCTTGCAATTGTGGCGAGGGAGAAAATAACCATTTCTACCCTCGCTGGCTATCTGTTGGAAAACGAGAGCTCAGGAAAACTGAGATCCAATCTATCTGCGGTTAAAACTGAGTTAATCTTTCGGGGCTGGTGTGGCTCAAAGACGGTCGCGCTGGATGCCAATTCTAATCTATTTCTGTTTTCTCATTGATTTTCTGTCAAGCTTCTGTGATACTTCGGCATCGCAGAAGAAAAACGAGAGCGGAATTGGAACAAAGTTTCGTAAGAACTTTTCGCATTCATTAAATCTTGGCAGCTGCGACGCCTGGAATGCGAACAGCGTCGACTTGGCGCACAGCAAACGTGTTTAATCTGTAAACGATGCTCCGAAATCAGAAACAGTCTCTTTCCCCCCATCTGAGAATATCTATTAGAGAAAGTGTGGGGCCAGCCACGCCGGGCAGGATGCCTCCCACAAATCTGCTTCCTCTCCTGCCAACAGGTTGTGGCCCCTGGTAGTCTGAGTTCCTCCACACTCATCACACGTTGAGAAAAACAAAAAAAGCCACTTCCATGTTGCACAAGAGGCTTTGATCATCTGTTGGTATTTTTAATTTGGCTTTTAAATTAAACCTGCAAAAACCATTTTTTCCCAACATGGCGGCCGTCGGTTAAAGCCTTTTTAGATGCAGTCGTCTTTTAGCCACGTGGCAAATGTAACTCGATTTTCTTTGCTCTCCGTTTGGTTGCTAAATGGTCCAAAACTTTGCCGTCATTCAGGGTTGTTCAGTGGCTTTAAGAGCGTTTTCATGTGAAAACAAAAACACGCTGAAATGCATCGACTCAGAGTGAAAAGCTGCACAGCGCCGTTAATTATTGTGAATGAGCAGAGCCCAGTAATAATTCTTTGTCGCTACAGAACTTTACAGTCATTTAATTGATGCCAAATACTGATTATAGCTACTTAAAAAAAAAAAAAGTTCATCTGAATATGTGATTTTGCGATGAGTCCATCCTCACTGACTTCATTCTGCTCCACCGTCTGTGTCACTGGGGAACTTTGATGTCTCCATCCTGGCAACTGCAAACCAATCACAACATCCTCCAACTGAATCCACTTCAAACGTCCCCCTTCAAACTGGTGAAGGGAGAAAAAAGCCCTAAACGGCTCACCAAACGGGACCATCTGGAGGCACTGGATGACGGAGGCCTGAAAGGCTTCGGGGGGTAGTCGAAGGGAAGGCAGACAGAGAGAAAGAAGGAAAGACAGCCCAGCAGCTACATCTACGAAAACCATGTCGTGAGTCCCTCTCTGCAGGCAGGACGGTAATTACAGGGCGCAGACAGAGAAAGCCTGACTGGGGAAAAAAAGTGGAGATACTCAGACTGCTGGGTTGCCGCCCTTGGGCCCTCAACATAACCGCAACGCTAACCAGCCAGCGCTACAGTACAGGCTACGAGAGGAGGGTTCCAGATCACTGCACCGACACACGGTGCCAAGCAAGGAGGCAGTCATGGGTGCAGACGGGTCCACGTCAGGACAGGTAGCCCGACCCAGACGGACCACACAGGGCTGTACGCAGGCCGGCATCGGGCTGTTCACAGCGTCTCCTTTCTGATTGTCTGAGCATCTTTGGGTTCACACAGAGACCCAGTAAGAGTCCAGACTACTGAACAACAGCTGAAGGAACTCCAGCAAAAAACACAAACAACAAAAAGTAAAAAAATAAATAAATAAATAAAGATGCACTACTGATTTTTTCCACAACCGCATTGGCACGACCATTAAACAACATGAGTCACCAGCCGGAGCAGCGTGCGGCTCCGCTGCTGCCATCATGGAATCTAACCTCACGTCCAACTGCATCAGCACACAAGTGTTTCTGGTCGGGTTCTGCCCTCGATCCCGACTTCTCCAGTAAAGCTTTAGGGACGAGGCGGCTCGCCTTCACCCAGCGTCTGAGCGTTATAAATCACCAGGCCATGCCCGGGGAGGCTGCGTCCTTCAGCGTGACCCGCAACCTTCACACATCCTCGCGCAGTCAAAACCGTCCGACACCAGGCGAGGGCAGAGGAACGAGGCGGGCGCAGTTCATCACATCCATCAGGCTCCCGACGGCGAAGCGGTAATCCATAAAGCCAGAGTGTGTGGGCTGAGCTGGAAATATACCTTGAAAACAGTTCAGCGGTGTTCTGCTGCTAAACGGAGAACGCGGCTTCGGTTCTGGCCGCGCTGCTTCGTTCTCACCTCGGTTAACCCGCGGCCCAAAGGTCACGTCTAACTCAGAAAACTCAGCCTCCTGCAATCAAGCCTTTTATTTTCTGTTGTGCTGCATGTTTGGTGCTCAGGTTTGCAGGAAGTCACAGAGCAGAGCAGCAGTAAGTCTCCTCTGACGTTTATCTGAGCTCCCCCATTCCTTCACTGGGCTCTAACGGCAGATTACAGCAGCACAGATATGAGCTACATGACGTATGAGGCCCATTTTCCAGTGCAGGTGTCAAAGCTGTGTATGTGCTAATGATGAGTGCGTCCAGGGGAGGGAGAGGAAAAGCCCCCCCGGGGCAATTTGGCACTGCGGCGCAGGTCACTCTTCCAGGCTGTCATTTTAATGGAGGGAGGGGCTGTGACTGACTGCAGGGTCAGAAAACTGCCTTGCATGGAATTATGTTCAGAGCCCGGAGGACAAAAACTCAATAACACGTGTAAACTCGTTTTTTTTTTTCTTAATGGCGCTGCTTACTGCACATGTTTGCTCACATTAATGTGTAACCACTGAACACACACCTGATAAGAACCGTGTCACTGAGAAAACACAACGTCCCGACATTTCTTAACACTCCCTTCATAAAAAAAATAAAATATTCAGCATTCCACTGCCAGCCTGAGACTATCAGCCAATCGATTGCAAAATCTCAGGTGTATTTTTTATGCCAGCTTCGCAGCCTGCAGCCATCTGACACACGCCCAAACACACACACTCACACACACACACACACACACACACACACACACACACACACACACACACACACACACCGCAATCTTGGACTTTAACTTCAAATCACTAGCTGAGTTGAGTCTGTGCATTAGTTTCACAGCCAGGAGGAGAGCTGAAGCACAATCTGTCTTTTCACAGGCGAGAATCAATGCTGCACTCTGACAAAACATCCATATTTGTTTCCCTCACCACTATTTATCATAAGCATTCAGCGGGCGACCGAGTCTTTTCTTTGTTTTTTAATGAATGCTCACTAAATGAGACGTCAGTTATTGATCTTTGTTTGTGAAGTCTCGTATTCTGTGACACTGGCGTCCTTGTAGTTTATGAAAATCTGAGTGATCCATAAATTACTGTCAGATTCACAGTTAAAATAAATCTAATTTACAGGCTGCAGGGCGTTTGGTAATGACAAGCTCCAGCTTTGATTTATCGCCTTCACACGTTCAGTGTTTTCCCGTATGACAGCATCTTTACCATCACCGAGTCACATCAGCTTTTCTTCCTCACACTAACGCAGCATTAGCAAGTTAGATCACTCTTTGTGTCCGTTTTACTTCACTAAATGATGTATCTCCATCACACCTCCCCCAGTCAGCGCCCAGGGGGGGCAGGAGACGTCTGCTAATCACAAGCCCGAGCACATGGCGTTAAAAAACAGATAACGCCGGATGACAGATAGCATGTGGGTGTACGTCAGAGAAAATCTAATTCTGTCATTTATCTGTTTCATCAGCAGCTTCCATTAACTTGGTGCATGATAATAAACGGCATTATGTTCACATCACCTCACAGCGTTACAGTAAAACTCTGAGGCTGTTCACAGGTCGCCTCTCACCTCCACAGCACCGCCACTCCCTGACAGCTTTATGGACGCAGACCACCAGCTCTCAGAAGCGTCTGCATCACCTGACCTGAGCACAAAGTGCAAACGCACAGCAACGAGAACAGGATCACACTTTCAGAGAAAAAGAAAAAAGAGGCCTTGAGGGCAGTGACATCCAGAGCAGAGAGCAGAGTTCTGTACAGGAAACACACCACTGGCTGGGTGTGTGTTCACTAAGCTCTGTCCTCTGGGTGTGTTTTAATAGTTTCAGCTACACCTGATGTAAACACACCGCCTGCTGCTGCACAACACAAGCTGAGAGTCCGACCCCAACGTCTCAGAGCTGATTGTTCCACAGCCTGTATTAATGATGACAGGAAGACGATATAGAGATGGAGGGAAAAAAACTGTTGATGCCTCTGACCTACATCAGGGCATGGATGGTGAATAAAGAGCCCGAGGCTCTGACAAGCATTCAGCCATCAAATATCAAAAGGCCAGCTATGAGTAATGCATTAGCCGGCGCTGCAGCGGCTCAACCCATCGCTGATGCTCTCCAGCGGGTGTGGGTGACAACTTTGCCTATTTTTAAAGTGGGTTAACACTAAAATTACTTTCAGCAGGGCTGCACATTCGGACGAGTTTGGAGCTGCAAAGACAACTCTCCTCCTCCTGAGATCAATTAATTCCTCTGCACATCTCAGGAACTTCCAGCAAGTCCACACTCTGGAGGCTGCAGCACTCGAGTCTATTGACCAACTTTACTCCTCAACCTACTGAGTGATCCTGGAGAGATGTGCTGCCAGAACCTGACACTTACTTCTAAAGGAATTCTGCAAGACAGCTGCAGGACTGTTGTCACACAAAGCAACACACGTGTCAGGGGAACACACTCTACCTGGAACCTGCCTTCAGGCGAACCGCAAGTTGTGTTAATGAAAAATGAGGCTCAGCTGCGATGCAACGAGATGCTCAAGAGTTGCAGGAATGAAGCCTGATTCTGACAATGGATGAGCCGCAGCTGAGCAGCACCAGTGTGGATGTGGATGTGGGTCCATTCACTCCCAGTACCTGTCATCGTAGCAGAAATCGGCGCCCAGAGTGTTGACATAGAGGACCAGAGCCACGGCGCCGCACAGCAATTCTGCAAACATTTCTCGAACACACAGGCAGGAAACAACAGAACAAAAAATAAAAATAAAAAATGGGGAAAAAAAAAAAAAAAAAGCGGAGAGGGCAGCGGATCCCGGGTCTCTAGTCCCGCTCAGTCCGCGTCTTTGTCAGGATGTCTCTGCGAAAACAAGTCCATGTCCTCCCCCCCTCCTCCTCCTCCATCATCCTCGCTGAAGTGCACAAAGTGGATAATCCATCGGTGGCTTCTCTCTTTTCTAACCCATGTTGGGTCTGAGCCCGAGAGCTGCTCTCTTCCTGCCGGGAGTTGGGCAGAAAATAAAACACACACACAACACAACACAACAACACACACACACACACAGCCGAGCAGCGTTCAGTGAATCTGTGACAACATGCCGCACGCCTCCCGACACACACGGAGGAGGAGGATCAGCGCTCTGATGCTCAGCGGCCGCTGCCGGATCAACGTCGTGAGTGAGACCCACGTCAAGCTGGCTGCCGGGACGTGCGCCGCTTCCGCTCAGACCTTCAAAATAAAACTTCAGAATCCAACGTATCACTGTCTTGGTGTAACAGTGACTAAACAAATATTTTAAATTTAAAAAGAAAAAAGAAAGAAAAGAAATGACGGTGCAAAATAAAATACTATGGCATCCTTTTTTGGGATCTATAAAATGTAATAATAATAATAATAATAATAATAAATCACGAGCCGACTGAATGCAATATTTTCAAACAGCTAATCATCATAATCTGCACCCTCTGGTATTGGATGTGATCAACTGCTCTCACATTTGTATATAACTCATAACAAAAACCCTATTTATCCAGTGTTGCTTTCATCTATTTTCACTTCCTTCGCGATGGCCGGCCCATCCCGGGTTTTATTGTGGAGGTATAACTGCTCCTCTTCCTCCTCTACTCTCTCCATCTCGGCGCACTTGACGCAGCTCTGATCCAAACGCATGTGGTTAGTGGAGCTCCGGCGCATGCGCACACCCCTCCTCCTCCTCCTCCACAGACCGGGATAAATCACACTACATGATGCAGGGACCCGTGGGCAGGGGTCAGTGGCTGCCACTAACAGCAGTCCATAACACGAAGGTGGTCCTCGGGGTGAAGCTTCAGGTGAATGCTCCATGAAATCCCCACATGAGTGTTTTATTTAATTTATCAGAGTCATTCTCCTAAAATGAATAAAGCATCCCTGTGATCAGAGCTGTCACTACACATTGTGCTACCAGCTGAATGGATCGCTTGTTTTGGGAAAGTCGTCCCCGTTAAAGTCAGAAAATGTTCCACAGCCTTTGATATATTTGTACTAATGTGTGGCACAGAAGTGATCAAAGCTGCAGGAAACTGTGAGTCTTTAACTCTGATTTCTGTTCATTTAAAAAAACAAAAAGGATCCAGAGCAGCTCATAAAAACACACATTACAGTGATTCCTGTGATTGGAGGCGACTGGACTTTTGTCGCTCAGTTGCCTCGCTTTGATCTAAAAGGGCGGCGATGTGATGAAATCCTGAAGAAATCACCTTTTTCTCTTTGCTGATGTGACACGATGGTTATGCTGGAAGCCTGAGGCTCTCTGGAGTGATTTCAGTGATTGCTTTCCTCTGATTTCGGTCTGACCAGCCTCTGAGCTGCTGCAGTGACCACTAGAGGGCTCACGGAGCATCCCGTCCATGGGGAGACCACACCAGTCCTCAGGCAGTGATTTCACTTTCTGGTGTACTTGTGAATGTCCCGTCTGACCTTAAGTAAACCCAGAGACGTCCAGTGATCATATCATTGCTCAGAATTACTGCTATATGGTACAAGAGGAGTGATTAACACGACGTATCAGACTACGATCAGACTGCCGGATCAGCTCAGGCATGAGAACATGGTGTCATTTCCAAAAGCAATATCCAGCCCTTCCTCCTCTAAACGTTCTCTGACTGCCGTCCATAGTGGATGTTTCACAGCATTAAGAGCAGCAAAGAAAGGAGAAAGAGGGAAAAAGAATAATTGTAAAGGTGCTCCGTGGACAAAGCGAGCGGCCGGCTCTCTGCGTTTTGATTCAGGCCTGCTTCAATAGACACAACCCATCTGTCGCCTTTCAATGTGGCCTTTCACAGGACAGCAGCAGGACACTGTGATGTAACGCGCTTCACGAATTAATTAGACTTTCTTTCTTTATTTTTTTGTGCTTATGATGTAGAATTCACCGCCGACCCATTATGCAAACATGAGTGAGTCGCTGCCGTTGTTCCTTCAGGTTCAAAGTATGAAAACAAACACATACACGGCTGGGATTAGAGATGGCGGTGTGATTATTTGATGAACTGATGGTTGTGTTAAGTGCGTGTAGAGCTGCTCCTCTTCATGCCACAGGTGTCTGTGTTATTCCTGTGTTTGATTTAAAACACTGAAGGATTCATACGGCATCCTGTACTTCTACAACACGACGTTTCTGTAGGAAATGTTTTAGTTTTTACTCCCGAGCAAGTGGTCCCTCTGGCCAGGACCCTGTACATCCTCACATATTATTAAATTATTCTACCAGTGAATTTACCATAAAGCGACATTTTACTGTTTGTACCTGGGGGAGGTGAAACTAACCTCCAACTATTCTAAGGAGCTGCAAAACTAATGTTTTGTTTTGACAGATGAATTGATGTCAATCATAAACACCCAAAGCGAGCTCCTCAAAGTCAAACCGTCAAATTCAAAATTTCTTTGTTTTGAACAAATCCCCAACTTATGTAGCCTTGAAATGCTGAATGAATCCAACATTCAGTCATTTATTTTATCAAGTAGTTGCAGTTTAATCCTCTTATCATTCTGCTTCATTTTAATGCAAACACCTGTAAAATAACATCTCCACATTAAAATGAATGCTGTCACTGACCCTTATGGAGTTTATATAAAGTTTGTTGTAAAGATAACACTCTCTAGTTTCAACCAGAATCATTCCAGGTGCTACCAGTAAAAAGTTATTCCATTTCAATCATCACAGAAAAAAAGATTTTTTTGATCCTCGCTTAAGTTTTTTCTTGAAAATAAAGCAGCATGAGGAGGTGGGAACTAAAACACTCTGTGAGCCAATAGAAACACTTGTATTGTGCTCATATTTCAGATTTGAAAACAATATCTGTAAAGCTGATAATCTGACACCAGTTTTCCTACTGGTGTGTTCATGTGTTTTATAGAAGTAGACTTTTGTTTTATCCACATTCATCCAAACCACTGAAAACATGGAAAAAGTGTGATATGTGCTGAATGCTTGAACCTCCAGACATCAGTGAGGGCTCCATTTAACCCATCAGCAGTCACACTACATTTACAAAACATGATTTATAAGGAAAATCATTTTAGCTTCATGAAAATAAAAATTAAAAAAATGCAAATTAACTGCACTTTGGTTGGTTAATTAGTTCAAAATCATCTTATGCGTTGCAGAAGTGTTAAACTAGGTTAAACTAACCCTAACCCTAACCCGAGCCGAGTTATATGAACTGAGGTAACCGGTTCAGGTGGATCAGCTGGTCACACAGACCCAGATCTCCTCCAACATTTCCTACATTTATATTTTACATTACTTCTTCATTTAACTTTGAGGATTCTAGCGGCTGCTCCTAGTTACAGTTTAATCATTTATAACTCCGGGGGACTGAATTCAGCAGCAACTTCTGTCAAGGTCAGAACTGTTTTTTGTTTTTTTATGAAAGGACACAAAAGTAATTGAATTCAACACGTGTTGAAGAAACGCAGCGAGTTTCTGCGACGTCGTCTTTGTCAAACTACAAAACACAAGAGTCTCTGGAAAACTCTCTAATAATGATGCATTCATTCTACTCACAACACGTCCACTTATAAGAACTCAGCTGAGTTCATCTCATTTGAAAATTAGCAAAACTCACACATTTACAACAAGAAGACAGGTCGGTTTGATTAAATTAGTTTTTGATGCGTGACGGTGTCGAACTGTGCAGCTCCAGGTTTGTGTTTTCTTGTTTTTTCACATAAAACATTATTATCTATATCGATATACGCTGATATAGTTCAGAATTTCTCATATTTTTTGTTTGTTAAATCTGTCAAGTAGCTGCAACTAAACTAAAAATGATTCTAGCAAAGTTCAGTGCTACAGTATTTTGTATTTTTAATTTCTACATCCAGATTAAATATGACGCAGATGAAACCACTGATGCATTAAATACAATAATATGATACACATTCATTAATATATCACAGAGAGAACCATTCTCTCATGTTAAAGATGTACTTTTACCCTTCTTGCATCTTTCATTGTGTTCTACTTACATCTGCTGAAGCACATAATCTAAAAACAGATAATTCACTGGATCCCTGAATGCAAATACTCTGAACTTCTCTGGTCTCATACGGCAGCGAGACAGGATCGTGCATTCAGGGAATCGATGTGAACCTCCTGTGTGGGAGCGAGTCACCGTAGCCGTTCTTTACGATGATAAGTTCTCAGCTTCACACATGTGAAGGTTCCTCAAAAGTAGAACCATGTGTACGAGTGGGTGAAGGAGAGAAAGAAGAGGGCCCTGGAGGAGGTGGGGAGGGGAGGCGGGAGTGTTGGCCGACGTTTGTGACAGAGCGGGACCTCCCTGAACGGATCCCGGTCGGAGGAATTACAGGGACACTGCTCGGCCTGTTTGGTAATTACAGGTTCAACCTACGTCTGAGCCCCAAATCACTTCTGCATGGAAACAAAAAAAAAACAGAGAGAGAGAAACGTGAGTGCGGTGAAACAGAAAGTGATGCTTAATGCAGACTCTCTTAAGTATGGCTTTGCATGAAGCCGAGCGGCTTTATCTGCTTTGCGGGTGTCTTGGAGGGATTGACATTCAGCAGAATATTAAACAAGAGAACATGTAATATCAGCAAATAGGCCGACCGAGAGCTGCATGCAGGTAAATGTGCTGTGACAGGCTGAGATGGGAGCTGAAAACACAGCACAGATGCTAATAATTCTGGATATCGCCACAGTTTTTCTGCTGAAATAATATGAAATCTTCCTCCTGCATGTGTGAAGCAGACACCTCGGCTCCTGGCAATCAGCAAAAAACACGAGATCATTAGCGTGGGACATTAACTTTGCGTATATATCTCGACACAGCTGACTCAGCAGTAAACTATCATCAGCAAATTACGTTTCACTTCAGGGTTGACGGACGCAAACATAACGCTGACGGACGGACGGAGTGGAGGTAGAACAGGAAGGTGTCCATCAAACACGCAGCGGTGGCGTTTCCATTAATATAATTTGTTGTTCTCATTTTCATTAGGGAGTTTAGCTGCTCCATCCACCTGGCAGGCCCATTAACTGCGACAGAG